AACACCTCCCCTCGGACCGGCCGGTGAGGAAATTGGACCACCGCTTTATCGGTCCCTTCCCAGTCGAGGCGGTCATCAACCCGGTGGCCTACCGGTTGGCTCTACCACGCTCCATGCGACTCCACCCCGTGTTTCATCGGTCCCTCCTGGTCCCTGAGGCCCCTGCGAGCCATCTCCGACGCCCGACGCCTGCCCCTCCGGTCGCAGCCGACGAGGACGACGCCTCGACGTACGAGGTGGACAGCATTCGGGACTCCCGTTGGCTGAAGGGGCGCTTCCAATACCTCATCGCCTGGAAGGGGTACGGGCCCGATTTCAGCTGGGTGGACGCGTCTTCCGTTCAGGCCCTTGACCTGGTACGGGCCTTTCACGACCGGTTTCCATCCCGACCGCATCCCGTCAGACCCGGGGAAAGGGCCCTGCGGTAGGGGATAGTGTTGTGGCTCCGTCCGGTGGGTCCCTCTCATCAGAGGAGGAAGGCTCTGAACATGACGGAGAGGAGATGGATAGGCCTCTCTCTCCCGGCCCTTCCCCTCTGGTGCAGCCTTCGGTGGCTTCCGACAGCGAGGAGTTTGGCCAGGAGCCCGGTGTTTCTGGGATTGGCCAGGAGCCCGGTGCTTCTGGGATTGGCCAGGAGCCAGGTGCTTCTGGGATCAGCCAGGAGCCAGGTGTATCGGACTCCGACGAGGATACGTCTTGGCTGGATTCACGCCAGCGTCGGAAAGAGAAGCGTGCGCAGCAGCGGACACGTCGTGCCAGATAATTCAGCTGAGTCACTGGGCCACACCCCACTGGCTATATAAGCAAGGGGTGTGGCATGTGAAGTTTCGTGACAGACAATTGTTGATGGATATTCGGTCGCACGCTCTCTGGCAAGTCATTGTGGAATTATCTTTGTTTGCTGTGTCTTATCAGTAAAGGCTTGGCAGGCAGCTACGCAGTTGCTGCCAAGGAATTCATTTGCCTTTGTGCCGAGCAGTTTTTCAGGCCTCGGCTGCCTGGTTGGGGGGTGTGGGTCGGACGGGGGACAGAACATTCAAAGAAAAACAAGAAAGTCCAGTTGCCTCCTGAAAAAGCATCTTTGGGCTGAGGATGGAAGCATCACTGCATTTCAACAGCTGGTCAAGAAATGAGACACCATTAAATGGGAAGCGATTATTACCTGGAGAGATTCCGTGCCAATTCATCTAGTAGATTTGCATGCTGCTCTGCCAACTCCACCTTCTGGATCTTGTTGCTAGCCAAAGTGTACTCTTTCACCTTTTCGGACAGAGGATATCTGGCTCCATCTAGCTGGGCCAGTAACTTCTCAGATTCCTGAAAAACAAAAGACGCATTGGTCACCATTCAGAAGACCAGCTTTGCCATTCTTTCTCTTTTCGATGAAGAGTCCTCTCCGAAGAATCGGAGGTATGAAGAATATCCAAACACCTGACACCTGCTACAATAACCATCTGAGCCAGTTGTTCCCAACCTTAGTAAGATATGTGGACTTCAACTCCCAGAATTCCCTAGCCAGCCATGCTGCCTGAGGAATTCTGGGAGTTGAAGTCCATAAGTATGTCTAGTTTAATGAAGAGAAGGATGAGGGGGGACATGATAGCAGCGTTCCAGTATTTCAGGGGCTGCCACAAAGAAGAGGGAGTCAAGCTATTCTCCAAGGCGCCTGAAGGCAGAACAAGAAGCAACGGATAGAAATTAACCAAAGAGAGAAGCAACCTAGAACTAAGGAGAAACTTCCTGACAGTTAGAACAATTAACCAGTGGAACAACCTGCCTCCAGAAGCGGTGAATGCTCCAACACTGGAAGTTTTTAAGAAGAGACTGGACAGCCATTTGCCTTAAATGGTATAGGGTTTCCTGCCTGAGCAGGGGGTTGGACTCGATGACCTCCAAAGTCCCTTCCAACTTTACTATTATTATTATATTATTATTATTACTTCTCTGTCCCAAGCAGCATTCTGAAACATTACCTCAGGATCAAAAAAGCCAACATACTTTCTCTTCCTCCCTAACCTTGCAAGCTTTTTCCCTGTGTAGTATTCACGAAACAATTATAGGTAGTGCTCGACTTACGACCACAGTTGAGCCCAAAACGTATGCCGTTAAGTGAGACATGTGTTCAGTGAGTTTTGCCCCAGTTTACGGCCTTTCTAGCACCAGCTGTTAAGTAAATCGTTAAGTTAGTAACACGGATGCTAAATGAATCTGGCTTCCCTATTGACTTTGCTCGTCAGAAAGTTGCAAAAACTGTTCACATGACCCCAGGGCACTGCAACCGTCATTAATACGAGGCAGTTACCAAGCATCCAAATTTTGGGGATGTTACAACGGTCGTGTGAAAAATGGACATAAGTCACTTTTTTCAGTGCTGTTGTAACTTGGAACAGTCACTAAATGAACTTGTCAGGGTTCCGACAGATGAAACTCTTCAAAAAACTTCGAGGCATTGTTTACCTTAAAGAATCTTTATTTGAGTAGCATAGCATTGGCACTAACACAAGGGAAGCCAAAAACTGAGCACATCGTATCAAAGCACAATTCCTTCCTTCAGTTAACAGTCATAAATCACATTCTCCAATTAGTTTGAAATGCAGGCTTCCCCTCCAGCTCTCCAGCCCGCCAATTCTTTATCATCTCTTATTTCAATAACCTTGGTTCTCACACTAGGTTCAGTATTATTATGTCTAGCTAGACTCTCATGCACATTCTCCCCCCCGCAGCATCATCTAACTCTAAAAGCAAAAAGAAGAAAATGGTTGCATCTCCATCTGTTGTCAATGCAAAAACATCCGATGTTAGCAGCATTGACAGAACTATTGTTAAGTAGAGGACTACCTATATTGTGCAGATCACACATCCTTTTGTTAGTTCTCACATCCCCACCTCCTAGGCCAGTGGTGGCAAATCTATGGCACTGGTGCTAGAGGCGGCACTCGGAACCCTCTCTGTGGGCACACGTGCCGTTGTCCCAGCCTTGCCTCCCCCCGCGACCTCACCAGCAGCCCCCCTGGAGGAGAGTCGCCCCCAAGCGTGGCCCACATGAAGCAGCACAGCCAAGGACATGGCAGCCAGGCAGCGTAGACAAGACTCTGCCCTCATGCCCCATCGTGCACAGTTGATGCTGCAGGGCGCGGGGAGAGGGTGTGGCCGCCATGGTGCTGCTGGGCTGCCTGGGCAATCTGCGGCGGGCCCTGGAGGCGGTGAGTGGCCCTGTGGGCAGGCGGGGTGGGGGCGAGGCAGGGGGTAGAGAGGGGGCGGGGCCAGTTTTGGGGTACTCGGTCTCTAAAAGGTTCACCATCACTGTCCTAGGTTCCTAGAGCCACGTGTCTCATTTCTCTTCCACAGAGAAGCCTCTCGCTTACATCACTTACCTCTTTCGCCTTTATAATTGTCTGCAGATGTTCAGAGATCTTCCCCAAGGAATCTTTAGCCATTCTCAAAGTAGCCTGGATTGTGCCATATTGTTTCTCCATTTCCTTGCTCTTTAGCTGTTAGGCATGAGAGAACATTAAATACTAATGCATAACCAGCAACGTCTGATCATAAAAGTCCAGTACGCTCTGTTCATCGTCCATTTATACACCCCACATTTCTGTTTGTTACAATATGTGTTTTCGTTTAGTTCTTTTTCCTTTTTTTTTAATTCTCTGTATTTACTTGCAGAACAATTCCCCTATTTTTCTGCTACAGATAGTCCTTGACTTACAACCATTCATTTAGCGACCGTTCGAACTTACAATGGCACCGAGAAAAGTGACTTATGACCATTTTTCACACTTAGGACCATTGCACCATCCCCAGGGTCACCTGATCAAACTTCGGACACTTGGCAACTGGTTCCTATTTATGACGGTTGCCGTGTCCCAGGGTCAGGTGATCCCCTTTTGCGACCTTATGATAAGCAAAGTCAATGGGGGAAGCTAGATTCACTTAACAACCGTGTTACTAACTGAACCACTGCAGTGATTCACCTAACAACTGTGACGAGAAACAACTGTGTTGTTTAGCAACATAAATTTTGGGTTCAATTGTCCAAATGGTGATCATGTGACTATGGGGATGCTGCAACGGTTGTAAGTCTGAAAAACAATCGTAAGTCACTTTTCCCAGTGCTGCTGTAATTTGAAAGGTCACTAAACAAATGTTTGTAAGTCAAGGACTACCTGTATCCCAAAATACCCTGGGGCATACCGTGTTTCCTCAAAAATAAAACCCAACTGGAAAATAAGCCCTAGTTTGATTTTTCACGATGCTCGTAATATAAGCCCCACCCCCAAAATAAGCCCCAGTTAAGGTCGTCAGCCAGATGGACGCATTTAGTACCGTATTTCCCCAAATATAAGCCCTAACTGGAAAATAAGCCCTAATGCATCTTATTTTCGGGGAAATATAGTAGTAATTCATTCTGCAGCCCGAAGTTTCAGTTTCTACCTGTGTTTCCTCTAAGTGATTACGATTCAGGCTGTTGAGGTCCTCTGTCTGTCGGGTTTTATT